GCCTTTCCTTATCGCTATCTCTGGTGCCGATGGCGGCGCCCACCAGAAGCTGTTTGTTCTCGTCCTTCGACGCCAACGGATAGTCTCTGTGCTTCTTGACGTCTGTCCGGGCGATGAGTGCCGTCAGTCGGTTATCCCGGTCCACAATCGGCAACTTTCCCTTCTTGTTCTTTTCCAGTATATCGTTCGCATCCTGAAGGGTAATGCCGTCGACGCCCACCACCAGGTGCTGCGATTTGGTCATCACCGCCGACAGGGGTTCGTTCAGAATGTCTTGAGTCTTAAAGTCGATGTCGCGCGAGGTTACGATTCCCAGGAGTTTACCGCCGAGTTTGCCGGTGTCTGTCACCGGAATGCCGGCGAAACCCCTTTCTTTTTTGATGGTCAGTACGTCAGATACCTTGTTGTTGGGCCCCAACACCAGGGGGTCCCGAATGAAGCCGTGCTTGTATTTCTGGTAATCATAGAAATGAGTGGTAATTATTGACAATCAATTGGTATTTAATTGCAATTTCTATGTATTTATTAGCAAACGATTGGTTATGGCAGTGAATGTACAGAATGTAATGTATACTACGGGTACTGTATATGTTAAATTGTTAGTAATATTGTAATATTTTATGTCAATTTCAATATTTCATAGAATATTCTTATAGGTAATGAATGAATGAATTCTTCTATTTTTATGTGATTTTTCTAATTATTTGAGAAAAATTAGTCACAAATATTTATATGAACTAAATTATAGTAAACACAATTAGTAAGCTTTGGGTGCATTATATCATACATTTACCGACAAATGTGTGTTTATTTAGCGCACAAATCAATTGATTAACTAAATTATGTGATAATTTCTCTCACAATTGAAATCACTGTTCGCTATGTGTTCAAGGATTTGATTAAAAGCTATAAAAATATTTTTCCAATCAATAAATTACAGATAAATAAAAATTATTAATCATTTTCTATCGACAGATATGTTTTGAACCAAAAAACATATTTTTACTGTAATTTCCATTCAATTCCAAATAATTTCAATTAAAAATTTATGATAAATTAATTAAACGCTTAAAACTTTTAAAAATCTATTATCTTTCTAAATAACATTTACCGGTAACTAGAAACTAGAATCGGTAGGGAATGGTGTTATAATTACCTTAACTTTGAGTACTTCCGAGGCCTGGTAGTCAGCGGTACAGTTGTGGTGAATGATTCCGATGCCTCCACATAACTGTCCATCAAAATAATCGTATTATTATTATTATTTTATACAATAATTTACATTCAATTACGGATTGAATTCAAAATTAAATGTTAATTATAAGAAAAATATTAAATATTTAGAGAGAGAGAGAGAGAGAGAGAGAGAGAGAGAGAGATTATATGGATATATGGATGGTATGTATGGAGTGGTCACTCACAGCCATAGCAATAGCCATCTCAGACTCGGTTACGGTATCCATGGGTGAGGACACGAGAGGCACACGAAGTTGAATGCGTTTCGTGAGGTTTGTGGTGAGATCCTGAAGTCGATGAACAGTCACACCAGTCATACACAGACAGACAGACCATCAATCAGTAAAAGTTAATACATTCACATAAATCAGACTTCAAAAGACTGTGAGAGGAACTGGAGGAACATCCCTGTCCTCCCGGTGCTCTCCAAGTCATATATCACTAAATACTGACCACATCTTCGGCGCTGAAGTCTATATATCCGGGGAGTACTAAGAAGTCGCTGCAAATGAACAGATAATGAGATTAATAGATGACAATCACGTGGTGGTGACCATCGATGGCTTACTTATAGGTGAGTCCATCGCCCGAACCAAACAACTCATGGGCTGACAGTCCGTCCTTCTCGTCGTCCGAGTCTTGACAGCACTTCTTGTGGTGAGGATTGCATGAAGACATGACTATCACTGAATCGGATCCCAATATGTGAATGAAGTTTGCATTTAATATACAATTAATATGAATATAACTATTAATATAAATCTAATTATTATTATTAATACATATTGTCATGAGTTTTACATTTGATTTATTACTATAACATAGGATTGAACACACGATTCAGAAATTATATGTTTTAATAGCATTCATACAAATGGGTGAAAGTGTGCTATAATTGCAATCATTTAAAACTTAACTACAATTAAGACATTGAGTCTGAGATTCACGTGTTGTTTGTGTTTACGACTCATACAACTCACTCACTATTCCTCACAAATAGACATTCATTGCTCTCTCAGTCTCTCTCTCTCTCTCTCTCTCTCTCTCTCGCCGAGAGTGCAGTCAACTCATCCCTAACACTATATTCTGGTTATTGTGATATATTTGGGAATAGTTTTATCGATTTTATATTACATAACATATGCTATCTTTGAATGCAATGTTTGTCTCATTACAACCCATACTAACATAAATTCTATACACTATTGAAACACAAGAATATTCTGCTAAATAAATTGATTGAAAATAATGTTAACACAATACCTGTATATACAGAATATTAAGTTAATTTTAAAAAGTTTTATACATAGGTATCAAATATACATAAAAATACAAACTTATAAATACCTGAAAATTAATTAAATGCCAAAAATTTGTGACAAAAAGTTGACTAAAAGTTATGAAAACTTTATTTGAAAGGAATTCTTGACTCAAAATCAATGCTTTTTATAAGACTTTGCGATCAATCGCTTGAATGGATGTCCAAAAATCAAATGATTGGAAAACTGATGAAACTTCTGGAACTGGAGTTTAAAATCCAGTGATAATCAGCTTTTCTTATGACAGTTACAGCCAATCATACCATTTGTTTAATAACTAATCAATTGATTTGTGTGTTGATAGGAGCTCCCAGTGCTTTGGGACAGTCATTCAATCGCTATTCATCTGAAATACAGTGAATTCTGTTATAATAAAATAATTCCTATACTCTACTCATGAACTGGTTTTAGGTATAAAACTATCAATTATGACATAATTATTATGTACTTTTGTATACCACTCGCTATAGTGAACACAAGTGTATTGAGTGACACAAGTAATGTAGAGAATTGTCGAAAGCGAGGGTCGACTGTATGTGGAAATGGATTAAAACAAATATTTGTTGAGACGTTGGTATTAATGTTACGAAAACAGACAACTATTTTGCCGATCAAATGATTTTTTGTCACTCGAGTTGGCCTTCAATTCATAGCAAACCGTCTAATGATTGGAGACTTAAATCAATAACTTATTGATAACTCAGTCTCTAATCGCCAGAAACCCGGTAATCGACTCCCAGTTGTCTCTCCCTTTATATACAGTAAGTCTATTCTCTATTAACTCATACTTGCGATCATTCTCTCTCTCCCATTAGATTTATAGCGAGTGAGTGAGAGAGCCAGAGAGAGAGAGAGAGAGAGAGAGAGAGAGCTAATTAAAAGCTAACTTTTCTAAACTAAACATCATTAGTTATCACTGAAAGCAATCAAATAGTTATTGATTTTTCATTTCATTTTGTAAACAAATTTCCAAAAATTAAGAAAATTGACAAAAAAGTTATGTAAGAATTTTATGGATTAACAACAAAATGAGACAATTCGTGAAAACATTAAACAATCGTATAGTGTATATAAAATCAATTTATATAAATAAATGACTAAACATTTAAATTATTACAAATAATGTCCAAACTTTGTAGGCATCGCTAATAACCTTTGAAAACAGACCAAACATGCAGTGAAAACAAAAATCACACGAAATTTAAAATTTAAATACTATTTGTCGTCAAAAAGCATTTCATACAAAACTTATGGACAATAAGTTATTGCGTTTATTTGAATAGAAAACTATAGGGATATCCGTGAGCTTTGCTCCGGAATATGGATATCAATGAACTGAAGAATACGGCCACTAATCCCATGCCTACGATCGCCATAACTGTGTGGACAGGGATTGAAATCAAAGCACCGATTAGTCAACGATTACACACTCAAACACAAGGCATACTTTTCCTCTTTTTCGAGTCTCCCTTTCCTTTCATGGCCTCATTCATCAAAATCATACCAAAAGTGATGGCGGCGTCTGTTTTGTGTCCAAAATCCACTCACAATTAGTATTCAAATGACAATTAATTCAATTCAAAACATACTTAATATGAATATAATGTACGTCTCGATGACGAACTGTCCGCCACTACTGCCGTGAATATAAGAGACGCCTTTGTTTGTGCGGTGCATCAGAGGTGNAAATCCACTCACAATTAGTATTCAAATGACAATTAATTCAATTCAAAACATACTTAATATGAATATAATGTACGTCTCGATGACGAACTGTCCGCCACTACTGCCGTGAATATAAGAGACGCCTTTGTTTGTGCGGTGCATCAGAGGTGGGCCCCGGATATGGTTCCACATCTGGCCGGAGGTCATCGCCAACACTATTGACTGTCATTTTGGGACAAAATATCACATCATTTAGTGATTAATTATACTTCAAAAGCAGTAAATGAATAAAACGGGAGGAATGGTATGTGCCGCCACTGCCTACCAGTGCCGCCAACCCCCAGGAGGTCCTGTTGTAGAGGAAGTCCAGGTTATTGCGCCTCATGTACAGCAACGCCCCGATCAGTGCGAACAGTATGAGCAGTGCTAACGTTCCCGAGTAGTTGGGCGGACGGATCACTCGGATCTGGATGTCTGTCCTCTCGGC